TGTCATAACTTTATCCAAAAAAATACGTTACATTCTGTGACAGAGTTAGAAATTTAAAATAGAGGGACACAGGTTAATCAAGTAATTCTATGAAGGATAAATAAGAAATAATCTTTATTTGTAAAACTATTAGTTTAAATATAAAAAAAGTTAGGGGGCACGTGACCCCTAGTCCTTAGCTACTTTTGTCTTTAGTAACATATATCATAAACATGCGTAATATGAATGCATAAGGTATAAAAGTGTTTACCATAATAGCATTATCTAATTTTAAAACATGGTGTGAGTTATATACTTTATAAACAAAGGGGAAATATCACATCACTAGTGTGTTAAGTAAGTAATAACAAATCATTGTGAAATTTTATAAATATTAAAAATTGAAATTATAAATTTTTTCATGAATTTGTATTTTTTTCCCTAACATCACTGGGATGCAATAACCCATGTAATAAAATAGATAGGGATAATTTTACATCAATGAACATTTGGAAAAATAATTTCAAATTAATTAAAATTTTATAAATATTAAAAAGTAAAATTATAAATTTTGGATTTGTAATTAATTTTTGAGGTTGACTAAGAGGGTCTCTAATGCTGACTATGTTTCATCAAATTTGAATTCACACCCCTTTTTTTTGCACAACTATGTCATTAAACTCATATTAAATGAAGGCAAAGCTAGATTTTTTTTATTAAATTAAAAGAGCGTTTAATCTTTCATCAAAATCTGTTGTTAACCGTTGGTGGACAACTGGCCGGTCAATTGGGTGGATGACTAGCAAGACATCCGGGTGGATGACCGAGTTAGGAAAGTTTTGCTAAAAATTTACTCTAGGCTAAATGACCAACCAAATTTAATGAAACGATTGAAATGCAATATATTAGATCAAACTTTAAACGTTTGAGATGCTCTAACATGTAATTTAAATTCCCCAAATAGATATATATTTGCTACATGTACATCAATAGAGAGAGAGAGAGAGAGAGAGAGAAAGAGAGAGAGAGAGAGAGAGTACTCGGACGAGTGGGGTCATGAGGCTTATCATCAGAATGAATTTGAAATCCCACTATTTCCCACAATCACCACCACAACCACAAGTGCATAGCTGCACATTGAAAATTTCATGTTTTACTCTCTCTCTCTCTCTCTGTGTCTCACGACCACTTTCTCTCTCTAAATATGAGAGCTGTGTGTGTGTGAACTATGAGCTCTGTGTGTGTGTGTGAACTACCAACCAACTTCCCACACACAACTATTTTAGTCAAGTTAAAATAGCTAAAAAGATAAAAAGGTCAATCAAAATAGCCAACATCCCAAACACAACATTTCGATTTTTATTTGATCTACTAATATGTTGTCTGTGAATTTAGAATTTTCTTATGTATATTTTCTAAAATGTTCATCTTAAATACAATGAACTTCTTAAGCAAGTCAAGATATCTTGACTTTGCTCATTTTTTTGGTAATAATTCAACAACACTTCTTTGTTGACAAAAGTGATCATCTGAATGGTTATGAGTTCATTTGTATCAGTTTGCTTTGTGTGTTAGACCACATGTGCACATGTTTGAGACTGATGTCTAGAGATTGGGCCAGGCAAAAGGCTTAAAGCTTTTGTAGATCAATGTTGAAGGAATGATTTGGATGCTTGAAATTGACTTTCTAGTAAATGTTTCTGTATAGTGAGGATGTTTTACAATGTGTTTGAATTGATATTTTTTTGCATCCGAAAGCCTTTTTTCTTTTACTTTTTTTTGATAAGCCAAAAGCAAAGATTTTATTAATCCAAAGTAGATCAAGAAACTTACAAAAAGTGGCAACAAACACTGCATCATTATCACAAACATAGCATCCGAACTATGTTGTCACCCTATGCGTGACTAATCATGAGCAATCCCACAACAAACCAGAATTGGAGAGGTTTCAATATGGCTACACAAAAAGAAGCAAAATAGACGAAACAGAGCAAAAGCTCAAGCCCCAGCAACATGCCTACACTGCTGCAAATTGAAGATCAGATTATAAACTAAAAGCCCTTTCTGAGGTTTAGGGACTTACAAAGATTTAGCATTTTTTTGTTTATTCGAGAGAATGAGTGGAAGGAGGAAAGAGTTTATGAAATGATCAAGGAATTATCCATCCTATACAAATTGGTTCCAACCTTGAATGCTTGTTAAATATCATAGGTGTGATTCATGAACTTCATTTCATATACAAAGAAATCACAAGTGAACCATAGGAATAGAGAGATCGAATGAAAAACACCACCTAAGTCTAGTATAGGAGACAGAATCCTAAAAAATGAAAGCAACACACCACACCACACCACTACCCTGCTAGAAGCAAAATCAAAACAAAACACATAAAACAGGACAAACAAACCCACCCAAAACTTAGATGATTGCCCTCTGGTTGAGATGACCAACGAAGACTCAGTTGAATCCTTGCATTTCTCGAAAAACAAGCTTGGTTCTCTTGGCTTTTGGAACTCAGGACTAAAGTTGTAGATGTCCAACAACAGTGGAGCCAAGTTCCCATGGAAAATCATGTTCACCAGCTACCTGGAAATACAAAAACCAAGAAGACAGGATATTAGACAACGTCGTACATGTTGATAGCATGCAAGACGGCCAGAGCTTGAGTGTTTCTATTATTCATGGTTGGATTACGCTGACCACAGAGCGTACTTGTTGATCGAGAGCCAAGAAATATGTAATACAACAAGTGAGCTACTGCAGAATTCAAGACACATTATTGTATCTCTAACTGTGATGGAAATTATAGAGGATTGATACTTTTAAATTAGGCATATAAAAGTTTGTAAAATGGTAATTAGTATAAAAGAATAGCAAAATAGACTGGAAATATGGTGAAATTGAATGGTATAAGAAGACAACTGAAAGCAAGAACATAATGCAATCCAAGAGTAAAAAGGAAAATAAATACTCAAGAGCTCGAGCAGTTGATGTCAAAGAGTTGTCCTAATGTAATCGTGTAGAATTGATTTTGCAGTGTTGGCCTTTGCTTTGATAGTATTGTAGCAACTTGTTGCATGGTTGGCCGAGACAGTGGAGTGGTGTGTAGACATGCAAATGCTAGTTTCGCAACAACAACTATTTGCTCTGCCACTTGATTCCTCGGAGGTAGGAGGCGTTGGTCCAAGACGTCCTTCAAAAATATCCCTTGCGCAGTTGATGTTGATGATGAGGACGAGGATGATGATAAAGAGGAGATTAGATCACCTGGATGCTTCCCCATAATCACTTCCAGTGCTAACACCCCAAAACTATAAACATCGCACTTCTCATTCACTTCCATTGTATAAGCAAGTTCGGCCCAAAATTAAAAATGCCCAACAACAGAAAATAGTTAAATAAAAAAAGGGTGGAAAAGAAAACAAAAATGCTCCTGGCCCATTTCCAGACATTGATTAAATTGCTTGGAACTCTTTGATAAATGATGCGAATAGTTTAGGGTTCCAAAAGAAGGAAATTATATAAATGCTTGATGAATGCCAATGCCAAAATTTCAAAGTATGAAAACCTGATAACCATGAATGTCTTAAAATAGGATAGTTAGTTCATTGAAGCAACTACCTACCCTTCCATACATGATTTTCAAGACATCAATAGGATTGTTCGTTACCAATATTAACTAAAGTCTTTCAAGTGTTATTAGTCTTTTTGATTTGATGACCAACCTAAACAATTTGAGAGAAATAAAGAATTAATGAAAGTTTGCTAACTGCCAAATGTTAACAGTAGAAATATAAGTTTTTGAAGCAAAGAACTATATGGAGTGGCTTTTGAAGGACTGTTCACAAGTGCAAGGATGGATGCGTGATTTTAATCATAGGGGGCGAACTTATAATCAAGGAGAAAAAAATACTACGTGTGTTGCTTAGTTTGGATAATTTTCCCTAACAAAAATGTGCATTTTGTAGTCATTGTAGACATCGGTAAAGTTAAAAAATGACAATTCAATCTATTGACAAGAGGATAAATTATAGACTTTCTTGCTTTACAAACACTTTGGCACAACTGAAATATTATTAATAATTTTTGAAATTCGAAATGTCTAATTTTTTAGCTAGAATTTCAAATGTAAATTAAATTTACTTGCAAGCTTGCAAATATCTTTAATTTTGAAAAATCAATCATTTTTTTTAGATCAGTTTTTTTAATTCTTGTAATTGAGTATCGCATGTAATTGTAAAATGTCAACTCGAAAATGCTCAATGGTAATGTGACCTCTTTGTTGGCAAGTACGACTTCCTTCGAATGTAATTAATAAGAAGAAGAAGAAGAAGAAGAAGAAGAAGAAGAAGAAGAAGAAGAACAAGAAGAAGAATAAAGAAAGACAGAATTTAAATACATAAATAAGAAAAGGAAGAAGAATTGAAAGTATAAGTTGTTTTAAAATATAGATGGAGAAGAGGAAGAAAAAGTGAAAATGGAAATTGAGTTCTGGGCAGAATTTGAATAACAATAAAGATAGGAAAAAATTGAGGAAAGAGAAGAACAAGAAGAGAAGAGGAGAACCGAAACAAACAAGAAGAATAAGAGGCAAAGAGAGAAAGGAAACCTAGAGTTAGAAGAGTAACGATTGAAACATAACACTGCAAATCAACTTAAAGAAAATCAATAAAATCTTGGAGGGGTGAGCGTATATAATTTATAAATATTGATAACTAATACCACTATATTTAAAGAGTTATTTCAAAATTTTGGGGTGGCAATCGACCCATCCCTGCACAAGTGGTAGGTAATTAGAGCGGGCCAAAGTCTCAACTATAACCATAAATACCAAAATAAAGGAAACACATAGAATCCTGGTAAAATAATCATTTTCTTAAATGAACATTAAACAAAGAGAAAATATTCCATGTTTTGCAAAAAAGAGTTTTTATTTTTTTCTTTTTGGTAAACCTTGACGACATAAGAAGAAGTTTATTAATAATCTAAAATCAAGAGGGGTAATGAGCCTTATCTCTCAAGAAATAGAAGAAAAAAAATATTCATGCAAAAAAATGGGTAAATTACACTTTACATCCTTATACTTTACATTTAATCTCACCTTACCTTTTGACCTTTTAATTGTTTTAGTCAACCCTCCAGACTCCGAGTCAAATTGGAATTGGGCCCATTTGTATAACCTTGTTTCAAAAACTAACAAAGAATAGTCATTTGATAGAATTAATTACAATTAGCACCCCTACACTTTTATCAAAATCTCACTTTATTCCTTATCAACTTGTATTTTTACTTACCCAAAAAAAACTTGTATTTTTACCAAAATCTCATTTTAAGAAAATGTTATATGCTTAGGCCCAATTGAAACTGAACTTGAAGTCTAGGGGCTGACTGAAATAATTTAAAAGTCAAGGGGCAAAGTAATAAATGGTGTAAAGTATAGGGATACAGTGTAATTTGGTCCAAAAAAGAATCAACACTAACAAACTTGAATATATATATATATACACAAAGTACCGAACCTGTCTAAAGCCACAACAAGCTTAACCAATCTACAAGGCTCTTAAAAAGTAGAGAAATAAGAATTATTATCACAACCCCAATTAGGTAACACATCTGCAACTCTATTTACTTACTTCAGTGCATATTTTTCATCTAAAATGGCTTTTCATCATACATGAGAATTTAAGGGTATGCATATTAGAAACAAATGGAATAACAAGCTTAAATCTAGCAATTTGTCATCATTAGTAAGTTAAAATGAACAAATACTATGTGGATAATTTAATCGGAAATAAATCATTGCAATAGAAAAATATATACCAGGAGCAGCATAACCAAAGGTCCCAGCAAATGAAGTCCAATTGGATGAGTCAAGCTTCAAAAATCTAGCTGTGCCGAAATCGGATATGTAAGCCACAGACTCTAAATCAAGCAAAACATTCTTGCTTGATATGTCTCGATGGATGATTGTTGGAGAACAGTCGTGGTGCATATAAGACAAAGCATTTGCCACATCTTTGACAACATTCACTCTCTTAATCCAATCAAAGTATGATACATGATCCTCCATGCTCAATATCTTTTCCAAGCTTCCCCTTTCCAAGAACTCATAAACCAAAAACGAGTGCCTTCGGTGTGAACAATAGCCAAAAAGTTTTACAATATTGTGATGGCGAATCTTTGTTAATGCATGGATCTCACTTGTAAAGCCTTTCAAATTAGCCAAGTCACCATCGGGTGATACATGAAGTTTCTTCACAGCAACTACCTGACCACTTGTGAGATCAGCTCGGTAAACAATACCGCATCCTCCCTTCCCAACACAATGTTTGGTACTAAAGTTATCAGTCGCTTCAATGATGCTTTCATACACCATTTTTCCGTCATAGCTCCAAATTTCAAACAAATTTTCTTTATTTACTCGTCTTGGCTCAATTTTCGTGTTCCTAAATTTTTTACAAAAAACCAAGAGTACTATTCCGACAACCATTAATGAAAGAAATAGAAATCCAAAAAGAAGAACAATTAGTAACACAACTTTGTTACCTTTTTTCTTAGCTACCCCATTGTTCATTTTTGCTGGACAAGTTTTCAAACCAGTAGCATTACCACATAAACCTTTATTACCTTTGAGTGCCTCAAATGGAGCCTCACGGAAGGCTTTCATTTTAGGAATAGGACCCTCCAACTGATTGAAAGATACATCTACCGATGTCAAACTTAACATATTATCGAAAGATGATGGAATGAAACCAGAGAGTTCATTATGGGAGAGATTTAGTATTTCTAATATTTGCAATTCTCCAATCTGTTGTGGTGTCTTACCTATTAGCAAATTGTGACCAAGATCAAGAATTTGAAGGTTATGCATATGACCTATTTCAACAGGAATGCTTTCCCCAAATCTATTATTGCTCAAATTCAAGTTCAAAAGTTTCTTGCACTCCCCTAGTCCTCCAGGGATTGAACCATTCAGATCATTTCTTGCCAAGTTAAGATATTGCAGATTGGACAACTTGCTGAATTCTGGAGGAATATTCCCTGATAGATGATTATCATCCAACCTAAGGTTGAACAGTGAAACCATATTTCCTAATTTCACTGGGATCTGTCCAACTAGGTGATTTGAAGAGAGGTCAAGGAGACATAGTTGAGTTGAATCCATTATTTCAGGTGGTATCTCACCAGAAATATTATTGTTTGATATTTTGAGACTAGTTAAATTATGGCACTTTTTCCATTTTTGGGATACCTCACCATAGAAATTGTTATGACTCAAATCAATGTAATCCAAGTTTGGGTATATGCCAAAATCTTTTGATATATTTCCCGAAAGTTGGTTTCTTTCAAGCCTAACTCTATATAAGCTAGAGCAATTTCTCAAGCTTTTTGGGATGGGACCTATGAGATTATTATCATTTGCTGTAAAATTAACCAGCAATCCATTAAAGCATAGGCCTTCTGGGATATGACCATTGAACATGTTATCACTTATATAAAGCACTGTTAAATGTGTAAGATTGTTGAACACTGGGGGAATAGATCCAAAAAGTTTGTTCTTAAAAAGGAACAATTTGATTAAGTTGCACAAGTTCCCTAGAGATGCAGGGATTGAACCAGTGAGATTGTTCGTTGAGAGTGCGAGTTCAACGAGAGACCTCAGCATCCCAACTTCTTGAGGGATTGATCCGGAAAGTTGGTTCGAATGAAGGTACAGAATGGTTAAGTTGCCCAAGTTCCCTATAGATGCAGGGATTGAACCTGTGAGATTGTTCCCCGAGAGTTCGAGATCAACGAGAGACCTCAGCATCCCAACTTCTTGAGGGATTGATCCAGAAAGTTGGTTGTCATAAAGGTGCAGAATGGTTAAGTTGCCCAAGTTTCCAATTGAAGAAGGGATTGAACCCATGAGATTGTTAGTATACAAGCTGAGCTCATTGAGAGAGTTGAGCAATCCTATTTGTTGAGGGATAGAGCCACCGATTTGGTTTCTATTGAGGTACAAGATCCTTAGATTAGTTAGTTGGCCTATTTCGGTTGGAATTGTTCCAGAGAGATTGTTGAGAGACAAGCTAAGGTAGGTGAGTCTCCAAAGGCTACCAATGTTGGGGGGGATGGTCCCATAAAGTGAGTTGTTAAAAAGATCAAGGGTGAGGAGATGAGGAAAGGATGAGAAATTAAGATTAGAAAGAGTACCTTTCAAACCATAACTCTGAAGGTCTATATGGGCAACTCTACCAGCCTTGTTGCAACGAATTCCAAGCCAACTGCAATGGTTGGTTCCAAGCCACGAGGACAGGAGAGTTTGAGTTTGGTTGTGAAGGGTAGCTTTCCACGTCAAGAGAGCCATGGGTTCAGTTGATTGTTTTCCAGTTAAGGAAGAAGCAAAAGTAGCATAATCAAAAAAAGTGGGCAATGCAAGGATGATGAGGCAGAGTAAAAGGGGTGGGAAAGAAAGAAAGTGGTTGGGAAGTGTATTGGGCAAGAATGTCATTGTAGGCTTGTTTGTTATTAATAGAATAGAAAGCTATGAAAGACAGTAATAGGATAGAGGGATGAAGAGCTGTAAAAGCATGGAGAGGTATTTATAGATAATACAACTTGGAAAATTATTTTTTTTTATCGAACCTGGAGAGGGATTGCTTTCGACAGTTTTGGTTTGGATCCTCCACTAGGAAGTATTCAACTTTGGGAAATTGATGACCAATAAGATCATGCCAGATCGATGCATATGAAAGAGATATCTTTGGACCATCACTTCTGTAACAAATTATACAACACAAGCATCCAATCATTTGGATGAACGACCTTGCCCCATGTTTGATCCTCCAATAGTTTCATTTGCAGCTCTCACCAAATTATTATAAATTAGGATAAAATACATTTCTATAAATATACTTTTTCATGTTACTTTGATTTTTCAAATTTTTAATATTATCATTCAAATATTCACTTTGAGTCGAATTGAATTGATTCAATTTTAAACAAATCATCTAAATGAAGAAAATGATAATGAAATAATTTCATGTTATTTTGGACTCTAATATTTTAATTTTTGTCACTTTAAATCCTAAATTTTTTTATTTTTATCTTTTAAGTGTAACTTTGAATCCTAAACACTAACGAAGAAAAAAGAAGTAAAACATAACTTTATCATTTATCATAATCATTCTATTGATAATTTAAACAACACAATGATACATAATTTTCAAATTACAACTTTTAATAATAACAATAATATTATATGCAGACTTGACTTGACTTGACTTTTGGCAATTCCAGTCATTTTGTTTTTTTTAATAAGAATAATATCAGGATATAATTTTGAAAATAATTATAAATTAATAATAAATTTTATTAATATTAATAATTAAGATTATAAATTTTTTCATGCATATGTAATAATTTTATCAACTTACATATTTTTAGTAATTTACTTTTTTTTTTATTATTATTATTACAAAATTGTTATGAACCATGACATATCTATCCAGATTTTTCTGGATAGAGGAATACGTAAAGATTGAATTTATATAGTGTGAGATCTGTATATAAAATAAAGAGAAACTACTAATATAAAATTATATATAAAATAAATAAAAACTATTAATATAAAATTTTGAATAATTTTTTAGTTTTATATTTGAATCCATAATATTACTTTTATTATTATAGGTAGACTTGACTTGACTTTGGGCGGCTACTCCTGTCATCTTGTTCTGTTCTTAGTGGACTGTAAATCACAGATGCAGGAATGTGTGTATGTATAATATATGTGATCAGGGCTGGCCCTAAGATTTTGGCGCCCCAAGGCGAACTCCAGAAATGAGGCCCTCTTACATTGGGGAAAAAAAAAATTCATAGATAAAACGATAAATTACAACTTTTTTATTTGTTTGTAGCTACAAAAAAATTTACTTGCACATATAATCATTAAAATTATAAATAAAAATTTATTTTCATATATTAAGATAGGAAGCAATCATTACAAATATTTAAAAAAAATAAAAATCTACTCTTATTGCTTTTTTTTAAGCCCCATGTTCTATTTAGTCTATAGTATTTGAGCCTTTTTTTTTTTAAATATCTAAAACACAAAATTATATTTGGGGTCCCTATTTTCAGCCCCTAGTTGGGGGCCCAAGTCGCAGGCCTGGGCCGGCCCTGCATGTGATTTTCTAAAGATCCAGGAATGTGTGTATATGTAACATATGTTTTATATAATAACTAATTGAACGTGGAATCTTGATGAGATTATGTTTTGTTGTTGTTGGAGTATTATATATGTTTTGTCTGTGTTGTAATTTTCTAAAGAAATCCATCTTTGAATGCATTGGAATTGCCACTCTCTCTCTCTCTCTCTCTCTCTCATTTCTTTTGGTTCCCAAGTCCAACCTTCCCACATGAAAAAAAACATAAATAAATAATTGTGAAAACGATTTTTCATATTTTATGTTGAAAATATAAATTAAAAAAAATTAGTGTAAAAATGGTTTTACCAAAATCATTTTTAATTAATTCAGGATTAATTAAAAGTTAATTAAAACTGGCTTTTCCAAAGTTGGTTTTTTTTTTTTGTTCAAATTTTATTATTATTTTAATTGTGAAACACGGCTTTTCAAAATTCATTTTCTGGAAAACAAAATTGCTAAAGCCGTTTTACTTTACAATGGAAATAAAGATAAAAACTCACCCTAGAGTGGGAATAAAGTTTTAAAAATGGCAGTAAGGGAATCAACCCCACTAATAATGTGAAATGGACTCTATTTCTCACTTCTCATCCTTCATCTCTCTATCTCTTTCTATTCATTCTCTCTCTTTAACCTCATTAAAACCCAAAATAGAGGTGATATATTAGGGAATGTAACACTATTCTTTTGAAAATTATCTGTGTTTGGAAGTGTTTTGGAATTATAGTTCCACCTTTGTACTCTAGTATGATGTTTGGTTTGAGTTTTGGAAGGTTAATTTCATCTCTTGTTTTGAAAACTCGTCCAGGCGGGCTTTTAAATTTTGAAATTTGGCCTACCGGATGTCTACAGTGCGATTTTTTTTTTTTTTTTTTTGTATGGAGGGAGGTCCAAGTTTCAGAGGGGAGGAGTCTTACATGTGAAAAAACTTCAACTTTTTTAATTTGTTATTGAGGTATCGAAATTTTAAACAATTGAACTAATTTTAAGTTGTATAGTTGGTTATGAATTGTAAATTTTTGTATTAAATATCATATGTCACATCAAAAATTCCTCACTCAATTCAAAACTCATTCACCAAATAAATTTTTTACACTCAAATCATAATTCCAAAACTTATAAACTCAAAATACAACTCATATTCTCAAATCATAGTTAGAAAACTCTACCAAACGCAACCTATATTTTTTTAAAATTTTTTAATTGCATAATAAATGACTCATTTTGTTGATAAATCATTAAGTCATAAACAATTTTTAATGATGTTATAAATATATTTTAATTAATATTTTTAGTAATTTTATTGTTTTATAAGGGGCTAGTTAAAATTTTCTCTTTTTATATTAATTTTATTAAATGACAAATTTTGACTAGAAGTATTTGTAATTTTCAAAATCACAAACGGCAGTATATATTTTTAAAAAATCTCAAAAAATGTATTTATCATTTATCATAAAAAAATTAAGTCAACAAAAAAATATCAAAAAAGCAAATTCCAAACACCTACTTAATTTGCACCAAACACCCCCCATTGTATAATATCAAGACTTGAGTTGACTATAGATGTCGATAAACACCTATATACAAGTTATGAAATTTGTAATTTTGTTTATGACAATTATTTTTTTGTTTGTTGTAACTAAAAAAAAGACTCATAAACAAACATTACATAAAGTATAATTAACAACTTTTTGGATTTCTAACCAAACTAATAATTACGAAAGGTTATAATTAACATCGCTATACGTCATAACAGAATCATAATTATAATCAAGTCATAACAAATACCATAATAAGTCATAACAAAAGACTATAAATGTCATAATTGATACATACGGTGTGTATTGTAAAATTTCCTTTATTTTAATTAGCCTACAATCCCCCTTCTTTAACTTATACGACAACAAATTTAAACATAAGATCCGGATCGTCATCACGGATCTCGTTTCAATAATCCAAATCATTCATTTTGGAGAGTGCATCGTGTATATCATTCACACAAAAAATTTAGTCAATCCAATAATCGTAACACGTTCAATTTATAGCGTTTATTATCAAAAAAAAATAAAAAATGAATGATCTTTTTTAAAAAATACACTTGTTATCAATATTTTTTTTGAGATAAATTTGAGAAATTGAATAAATTACAATTATTGAATTGATCTATTTTTTTAATGTGAATAATAGGGTTGGACTTTTCTCTAATCTAAAGGAGTGTACTATTTAGGCTTGTGGAACTCACCATACATCCCGTTTTCCAATTATCCAAATCATTTATTTTATGGAGCCTTTCATGTATATCATTCATACAAAAAGTTAGATTAATTTGATAATCGTAACATATTCAATTTATCTCATTGATTTAAAAAAAAAAAAGAAAAAAAAATGATAAGTATGTTTTTGAAAAGAGGAAATATCATTTTGCCCACCAAACTATCACGCATTTTTCACGTTGACCCCCATACTTCGATTTATTTCAATTTAGTACCTGAACTTTTCACAAATTGATCAATTAGACCCCTACCGTCACCTTCCGTCTACAATTGGACGAAATGTGCTGACGTGGCACTTAAAATTTCATTTTACCCCCCAAACTATACCTTAAAAATCAAATTACCCCCCAAATTAAAAATCAATTTGCCCCCCACATCAGCACATTTCGTCCAATTGTGGACGGAAGGTGACGGTAGGAGTCTAATTGATCAATTTGCGGAAAGTTTATGTACTAAATTGAAATAAATCGAAGTATGGGGGTCAACGTGAAAAACGCGTGATACTTTGGGAGGGA